AACTAATAAAATTAATATACAAAAATTAAAAAATTATTCACAAAAAACAAACTATAAACTATATATTATATTGCCATTCTAATACTAATTTCAAAACTAGAAACTTAAAGTAAACTATAATTAAATTAATAAACAAAAATTAAAAAAATTACAAACTAAAAAAACTACTTACAAAAGAACAAACTAAAAAAACTACTTATATAGGAACAAACTACAAATCATACACACTGCCATCCTGGTACTAATTTCAAGACTGATAAATCTAAAGAAGATAATAACAAAGTTAGTAGGCAAGAGTTAAAAGAAAATCATCTACAAAAGAACAAACTACAAACCATATACTATATTACTGTCCTGGTGCTAATTTCAAGATCAGTGAACCTAAAGAAGACAATAACAAAGTTAGTAGACAGAAATCAAAAAAAAATCACTTACAAAAGAACAAACTACAAGTCACATACCATATTACCGTCTTGATGCTAATTTAAAGACCAGTGAACCTAAAGAAAACAATAACAAAGTTAGTAGACAGAAATCAAAAGAAAGTCATCCACAAAAGAACAAACTACAAGTCACATACCATATTACTATCTTGGTACCAATTTCATAACATTGAGCCTAAAGAAGACAATAACAAAGTTAGTATACAAGAATCAAAAAAAAAACTACATACAGAATAACAAACTACAAGTCATATACCACATTACTGTTCTAGTGCTAATTTCACAACTTGGCAAATCTGAAAACAATAATGAAATTAGTGAACACGAAACAGCAAAAAAAGAAATATGAAAAAAAAACTAAATTCCTTAACCACTGTCCCAGTGCTGATTTCACCATCCAGCGAACCTAAAGAATAAAAAAGACAATAATGAAATTAGTAAGCAAAAATTAAGAAAAAAAGTTAACAATCTAAAAATCACTAACTATATTACTATCTTGGCACTGATTTACAACCTGATGAATCTAAAGATATAAACAGAGTTAGTGGGCAAAAAGCCACACAAAAGAACAAACTACAAGCCAAGTAACATATTACTGTCTTAGTGCTAATTTCATGACCCAACAAACCTAAGACAAAAACAGAGTTATTGGACAAGAATCAAAAAAAAACCATACACAAAAGAACAAACTACAAGCCAAGTACTACATTATCATCCTAGTGCTAATTTCATGACCCAGCAAATCTAAGAAGACAATAAAAGAGTTAGAGGGCTAGAATCAAAAGAAAGTTACTTATAAAATAACAAATTAGAAGCAACCTACTATATTAATGTCCTGGTGCTGATTTTATGACCTAAAGAATCTAAGAAAGACAATAATAAAGTCAGTAGGCAATAATAAAAAAAAACCATACACAAAAAACAAACTACAAGCACATACTCATAAATACTGTCCTGGTGCTTATTTCAAGACTGGTGAACCTAAAGAAGACAATAACGAAGTCAGTTGGCAAAAATAAAAAAAAGCATACATAAAAGAGTAAACTACAAGCCACATACTCATAATTACTGTACTAGCACTAATTTTATGATCCACAAACCTAAAGAAGACAATAACGAAGTTAGTAGGTAAGAATAAAAAAAAATCATCATAAAAAAGATAAACTACAAACCACATACCTCATAGTTACCATCCTGATGCTGATTTCACAACCCAGCAAACATAAAAAAGAGAATAACAAAGTTAGTAGACAATAAATCAACAAAAAGAAAGAAAAAATCTTAAAGATAATCATTTATATAGCCATGTGACTACCCATATAATGGACCGGGATAATTAAAATTGAACCTACTAATTATTTGATTCAACTATTGTGACTCTATTGGCTAATGTGTCTACAATGGAGTGGAGTGTTAATAGTATTACTAAGATTGTGATTCTGGATAATGTTTTCAAAAAAGGATGCTAAGAATGGTTTTGATTAAAACTAAAACAAGTTATAAAAATATTTTCAAGATATCAAATTTAATAATAAATATATACTGATTAATATAAAAATATATATGAATAGGACAGTAAAAATATTTGCTTCTAATCGATAAAATTATATTTCAATCTTGTTTTGCGAGAGTATTTATTTATTTAGAAATTAGATAATTATTAAAAGTTACAATTTTTAATCAAATTTAATGCTTTTTGACTCTAAACAATTAAATTCAAAAAAAAACAGCAACATACATTTATGTATTCAAAAGCAAATTAATTAAAAAAATTATATACCTATTTTATTACTGCATTGTTATCTACTATTACAATTATTATCTCTATCTAAAGTATTATGATTATTTTCAATATCATTATAAGAAGAGGAAAGATCTTGTTGGTTTGTTTGTATTTGCATATGATCATGTTCCAGACTTTCCATACTTTTATAGTGTGCTTGTATGTTTTGCATATGTATACAGTTATATTCTGTTACTAAAAAAGTATTAGAAATTTATATCATAATAATAAAATACTATGAAAATACTATGTATTTACTTGGTTTTTCCCAAAAATGTGTCTGAAACTCCTCATAATATTTACAACTATTTTTGGTTTATTTATCATTAAGGCTTCCTTCAATATATAACTTCATTTTTTGTAAAAAAATTTTAATGTTTATAACCAGAGAAATGTAATCATTTATTAATTTAAAAAATATTACTTTATAGTCTTATATTAATCCTTGAAATTTTTCTTTACAATGAGTTCCTAAATAATTAGTCCTAAATTCAAGATTAATACAGCTTGCAACATTTTGCCAAAACATAATTTTTCTATTATCCACAAGTTCATGGTACTAACTATGTTTTTTTTCACTAATCAATAAGCATACGAAATTGGTTCATTGTCCACATTATATAAAATTCGAGAAACCTGAAAAATAAAAGATCCTTTTTATAATAAAAAAGCAT